GGTAGAGCTAGCGATCGGCCCCTTGTCGCCATCTTGAAAATAATGATTGATCCTGCAATCTCGTCCGATTCTCAGATTAATAATTTAGACATCATTAATAATTGAAGAGAAAAACATGCAGTCAGTAAAATTAAAATTTACTGAACGCCTAGCCGCACAATTAACATATAATAGCATATATTTTTTACGACGACGATTTTTAGCACACACGCACACACGTAAACATGCACACACACGCATGTACACACACACGCACGTGCGCACACACGCGCGCGCACGCACGCACGCACACACACACACACACACACACACACACACACACACACACACACACAACGCACACACACGCACGTACGCATGCACACACACACACACACACACACACACGCGCGCGCGCGCACGCACACCACACACACGTGCGCACACACACGCACGCATGCACACACGTACGGACGCACACACACATACACACGCACACACACGCGCGCACGCACGCACGCACGCACACACACACGTGCGCGCGCACACACACACACACGTGCGCGCGCACACACACACGCACGCATGCACACATACACACACACACACACACACACACACACACACACACACACACACACACACACACACACACACACACACAGCCAAACACCTCCACACACACACACACGATGTTATGATATATAACCGCCAGATGTCGCGTCGAGAACAACGTGTGTGACGCGGGGTGCACGCATGGTGTCGAAGCATTCCAGTTATTCAAAAAAGATATCTGCGTTGACTATGCACATGTATGAGCATCAAACATAACAGGCTTATTCCCTATAAGTCTAGGGCGTAGTGTCCCTTCAGTCTATGGTTGGCGTGCATATATAGTATATAATTATATAATATACCCTATTAATGAGTACATTATGACAAATGGATCGTCTGAACAGTGGGTCATTAATGATTTTATTTTTGGGTGGTGTGTTGTAGCAGGAGCACATCAAATATGTGATTCTGGTGCATGGTAATAAGTACTTTCCGAATTGTATACATTTCATGGTAAAATTGTTATGTTTTATTTTTTATTTTTTTAAATATTCAGAACCCAACTAAGCCTTTAGAGTTTTTTTACAAAGCAAAATGATTTGCAAACTTTTAACATTTGTACTCGTGGTTATTAAATCGCGCCAATTCTCCAAGGCATCATTCCGATAATCTACATAATTCTATATAAACAGTGTTACTACATATACTCGATTTTACATTGCAATGAAACACGTCTGCCAACACGTGCAACAATGAGAACATAGATCTACCAAGTATTGATAATATCTTCTGGGTTATCGCATCTCCGATCCTACATGGGCTTCCTAGGTTAACACGCTTAATTTCGCCTTCGTTGGTCTAGCGTGTGCCCTGACAAATTCTATGAGACGCGGAGGCAGCCTGTTCTCGTATGCAACGCTGTGTCTGACGATAAGGCGCGCGCAGTGGCACTTCAGCGAATGACACTGCACGCTCATTCTGCCATGTATCTCGTCGCTCATCCCATGTAACACGTTGCCGCGGAAACGCGTCGGGTAAATCCGGCGCCAGAGTTCGTACGGCGTCTCTCCCCGTGCGTTCACCACGTCGACGTGTGCGCCGTGGTTGAACAGCAGCGCGTGCACTATCTGCACGCTCCCCTCCCTCTCTCGCGCGTAAACATCGTCTTTGCATGCGAGCATCATCCTACAGAAGCTGTGCAGCGGCGTGTCGCCCTTGCTGTCGCGTGTGTTAACCTGTAGATGTACGCCGGCGGACTCGCACGTCTGTAGGAGAGCTGACGCCGCTTGTACCACCGACTCTGCTTGTTCTGCTGGTGCTGCGGGTGCTCCTCGCTCACTCATTCTGGGGCTTCTCACCACCGCCTGGCTGCCTATTAAAGCGAGCGGCGTCCTCTTGTTACAATCGACGAGGTTCGGGTTAGCTCGGTGTTTCAAGAGGTGAGTAATCATCTGTGTAAACGAAAGAAACGAGGATCGTTAACAACCCGATTTTAGGTTCGTTCCTTAAAGAACAAGTTTCTCCGATCATACTACCTATATTACTGTTGCCGATTACTAACTATTACTATTATTAAATTATTAACTATTAACCGATTACTATTACTGATTACCTTTATTATCTAGACAAAAATACATTGGAACATCGCTAAAATTGTCTCCGTTATTCACAACGCCCGCCCACATTTTTCCTCGGTCCCGAGTAGATTGCAGGAGTAGTGTAATACAATGAAACTATTTAACATATCTATTATTAACTGTTAACCAATTGCTATTACTGATTACCTTTACCATCTAGAAGAAAATACATTAGGGCATTGCTAAAATTTAGTCTCAATTATTCGCAACGTATGCCCGTAGTTTTACCTCGGTTTGCAGTCGATCACAGGAGTAGTGTAACGCTGTGAAACTCCCTCTTTCTTCCGTCTCGGCGACGTTGGGGTCGGCGCCGGCCTCCAGTAGCAGGCGCATGATGTCCAGCCTGCCAGAGCGAGCCGCGTGGTACAGGGTGGTCTGTCCTTGCGAGTCCGCGGCGTTGGCGTTGGCGCCGTGTGAGAGCAGCATCTGCACCGCCGCCTCCTCGCCCTTCCTCACCACCTTCATCAGCGGCGTCTCCCCGGTCTGCGTTGTGGCGACGTTGGGGTCGGCGCCGGCCTCCAGTAACAGGCGCACGATGTCCAGCCGGACAAAGCAAGCCGCGTGGTACAGGGTGGTCTGTCCGTACGAGTCCGCGGCGTTGGCGTTGGCGCCGGCCTCCAGTAGCAGGCGCACGATGTCCACCCGGCAAAAGCGAGCCGCGTGGTACAGGGAGGTCTGGCCGTACGAGTCCCCGGCGTTGGCGTTGGTGCCGTCTGAGAGCGGCAACCGCACCATCGCCTCCTCGCCGATCCTCATCGCCATCATCATCGGCGTCATTCCGCTCTCCGTTTCGGCGATGTTTGGATCTGCACCGGCCTCCAGTAGCAGGCGCATGATGTCCAGCTGGCCAGACCAAGGCACGAGGTACAGGGAGGTCTCTCCGACCGAGTCCGCGAGGTTTGCGCATCGTGAGATCAGCATCTGATACTCCGCCACTTCTCCCTGACACGCCGCCATCATCAGTGGCGTCTTCCCGGTCTTTGTTTCGGCGACGTTTGGATCTGCACCGGCCTCCAGTAGCAGGCGCATGATGTCCAGCTGATCAGACCAAGGCACGAGGTTCAGGGAGGTCTTTCCGAACGAGTTCGCGGCGTTGGCGCCTTGTGAGAGCAGCATCTGCACCTCCGCCTCATCGCCCTCCCACGCCGCCATCATCAGCGGCGTCTTCCCGCTCTTCGTCTCGGCGACATTGGGGTCAGCACCGGCCTCCAGTAGCAGGCGCACGATGTCCAGTTGCCTGTAGCAAGCCGCGTTGTACAGGGTGGCCTGTCCGTACGAGTCCGCGGCGTTGGCGTCGGCCCCGGCCTCCAGTAGCAGGCGCACGATGTCTAGCCTGCCAGAGCGAGCCGCGTGGTACAGGGAGGTCTGTCCGTACGAGTCCGCGGCGTTTGGATCCGCGCCGGCCTTCAGTAGCAGGCGCATGATTTTCAGCTGGCCAGAGTGAGCCGCGTGGTACAGGGAGTTCCTTCGTTGCGAGTCCGCGGCGTTGGCGTCGGCGCCGTGTGAGAGCAGCATCTGCACCGCCGCCTGCTCGCCCTCCAACACCGCCATCATCAGCGGCGTCTCTCCACTCGTCGTCTCGGCGACGTTGGGCTTGGCTGCGGCCTCCAGTAGCAGGCACATGATGTCTAGCTGGCCAGAGCGAGCCACAAAGTGCAGGGAGGTCTGTCCGTCCGTGAGCGCGGCGTTGGCGTCGGCGCCGGCCTCCAGTAGCAAGCGCACGATGTCCGGCCTGCCAGAGCAAGCCGCGTGGTACAGGGAAGTCTCTCCGTACGAGTCCGCGGCGTTGGCGATGACGCCGGGCGAGAGCAGCATCTGCACCTTCGCCTCCTCGCCCTTCCTCACCGCTTTTATCAGCGGCCTCTCTCCACTCTTCGTCTCGGCGACGTTTGGGTCTGCACCGGGCACCAGTAGCAGGATGTCCAGCTGGCCATAGCGAGCCGCGATGTGCAAGGAGGTCACCCCGTACGAGTCCGCGGCGTTGACGTCGGCGCCGGCCTCCAGTAGCAGGCGCACGATGTCCAACCGGCCAGAGCAAGCCGCTTGGTACAGGGTGGCGTGTCCGAGCGAGTCCGCGGCGTTGGCGTCGGCGCCGTGTGAGAGCAGCATCCGCACCGCCGCCTCATCGCCTTCTGTCACCGCCTTCATCAGCGGCCTCGCTCCGCGCTTCGTCTTGGCGACGTTGGGGTCGGCGCCGGCCTCCAGTAGCAGGCACATGATGTCCAGCTGGCCAGAGCAAGCCGCGTGGTACAGGGTCGTCTGTCCGTGCGAGTCCGTGGCGTTGGCGTCGGCGCCGTGTGAGAGCAGCATCCGCACCGCCGCCTCCTTGCCCTGCCACGCCGCCTTCATCAACAGCGTCTTCCCGGTCTTCGTCTCGGCGACGTTTGAATCTGCACTGGCCTCCAGTACCATGATGTCCAGCTGGCCATAGCGAGCCGCGCTGTGCAAGAAGCTCAATAGGTACGAGTCCACGCCGTTGGGGTTGGCGCCGGCCTCCAGTAGCAGGCGCACGATGTTCATCCGGCCAGAGCAAGCCGCGTGGTACAAGGTGGTCAGTCCGTGCGAGTCCGCGGCGTTGGCGTCGGCGCCGTGTGAGAGCAGCATCCGCACCGCCGCCTCATCGCCCTCCGTCACTGCCTTCACCAGCGGCCTCGCCCCGCGCTTCGTCTTGGAGACGTTGGGGTCGGCGCCGGCCTCCAATAGCAGGCGCATGATGTCCAGCCAGCCAAAGCAAGCCGCGTGGTACAGGGAGGTCTGTCCTTGCGAGTCCGCGGCGTTGGCGTCGGCGCCGTGTGAGAGCAGCATCAGCATCACCGCTTCCTCGCTCTCCCACGCCGCCATCATCAGCGGAGTCTTCCCGGTCTGCGCCTCGGCGACGTTTGGATCTGCACCGGCCTCAAGTAGCAGGCGCATGATGTCCAGCCTGCCAGAGCAAGGCACGTGGTACAGGAAGGTCTCTCCGTGCGAGTCCGCGGCGTTGGCGTCGGCGCCGTGTGAGAGCAGCATCAGCACCGCCGCCTCATCGTCCTCCGTCACCGCCATCATCAGCGGCGTCGCTCCACTCATCGTCATGGCGACGTTGCGGTCGGCGCCGGCCTCCAATAGCAGGCGCACGATGTCCAGCTGGCCAGAGCGAGCCGCGATGTGCAAGGAGGTCACTCCGTACGAGTCCGCGGCGTTGGCGTCGGCGCCGGCTTCTAGTAGCAGGCGCACGATGTCCCGCCGGCCAAAGCGAACCGCTTGGTACAGGGTGGTCTGTCCGTACGAGAACGCGGCGTTTGGATCCGCCCCGGCCTCCAGTAGCAGGCGCATGATGTCCAGCTGGCCAGAGCGAGCCGCGTGGTACAGGGAGTTCCTTCCGTGCGAGTCCGCGGCGTTGACGTCGGCGCCGTGTGAGAGCAGCATCCGCACCATCGCCTCCTCGCCCACCGTCACCACCATCATCAGCGGCGTCTCTCCGCTTTTCTTCTTGGCGACGTTGGCGTCGGCGCCGAATTCCAGTAGCAGGCGCACGATGTCCAGCCAGCCAAAGAAAGCCGCGTGGTACATGGTGGTCCGTCCGTACGAGTCCACCGCGTTGGCGTCGGCGCCGGCCTCCAGTAGCAGGCGCACGATATCCAGCCGGCCAAAGCAAGCCGCGTGGTACAGGGTGGTCTGTCCGTGCGAGTCCGCGGCGTTGGCGTCGGCGTCGTGTGAGAGCAGCATCCGCACCAACTCCTCCTCGCCCTTACTCACCGCCCTAATCAGCAGCGTCTCACCGCTCTCCGTATCGGCGACGTTGGGCTTGGCTGCGGCCTCCAATAGCAGGCGCATTATGTCCAGCTGGCCGGAGCGAGCCGCCATGTGCAGGGAGGTCTGTCCGTACAAGTCCGCTGCGTTGGCATCCGCGCCGGCCTCCAGTAGCAGGCGCACGATGTCCAGCCGGCCAAAGCGAGCCGCGTGGTACAGGGAATTCAATTCGTGCGAGTCCGCGGCGTTGGCGTCAGCGCCGTGTGAGAGCAGCATCCGCACCGCCGCCTCATTGCCCTCCGTCACTGCCTTCATCAGCGGCCTCACTCCGCGCTTAGTCTTGTCGACGTTGGGGTCGGCGCCGACCTCCAGTAGCAGGCGCATGATGTCCAGCTTGCCAGAGCAAGCCGCGTGGTACAGGGTGGTCTGTCCGTACGTGTCCGGGGCGTTGGAATGCGTCGGCGCCGTGTCGAGAGCAGCATCCGCACCGCCGCCCTCATTCCCTCGTCACTGCCTTCATCAGCGGCCTCACTCCGCGCTTAGTCTTGTCGACGTTTGTGGGTCGGCGCCGGCCTCCCAGTAGCAGGCGCCATTGATGTCCAGCTTGCCAGAGCAAGCCGCGTGGTACAGGGTGGTCTGTCCGTACGTGTCCGGGGCGTTGGCGTCGGCGCCGTGTGAGAGCAGCATCCGCGCCACCGCCTCCTCGCCCTCCCTCACAGCCTTTATCAGCGGCGTCTCCCCGCTCTCCGTCTTGGCAACGTTGGGGTTGGCGCCGGCCTCCAGTAGCAGGCGCATGATGTCCAGCCTGCCAGAGCAAGGCACGTGGTACAGGGAGGTCTCTCCGTACGAGTCTGCAGCGTTGACGTCGGCGCCGTGTGAAAGCAGCATCTGCACCGCCGCCTCCTTGCCCTCCCTCACCGCCTTCATCAGCGGTGTTTCCCCGCTCTTTGTCATGGCAACGTTCGGGTCGGCGCCGGCCTCCAGTAGCAGGCGCATGATGTCCAGCAGGCCAGAGCAAGCCGTGTGGTACAGGGTGGTCTGTCCGTACGAGTCTGCGGCGTTGGCGTCGGCGCCGTGTGAGAGCAGCATCCGCACCGCCGCCTCATCGCCCTCCGTCACCGCCATCATCAGCGGCGTCGCTCCACTCTTCGTCATGGCGACGTTGGGGTCGGCGCTGGCCTCCAGTAGCAGGCGCATGATGTCCAGCTGGCCAGAGCAAGCCGCGTGGTACAGGGTGGTCAGTCCGTACCAGTCCGCGGCGTTGACGTCGGCGCCGGCCTCCAGTAGCAAGCGAATGATGTCCAGCTGGCCAGAGCAAGCCGGCGACAGGACTCGCACGTTCCCGCCGGCAATGGCTGCGTGCAGCATCGTTCCGTCGCTACGGTAACGCGCGCGGAGGTCCGCTCCATTGTCTAGCAGCGCGGCTGCACCATCCGCGCTGGCTGTTTCGCAGGCGAGCATGAGAGGCGTTCGCCCGCGCTCATCCTCTTCTTGCAAGGGCGCGTCATGCAGCAGCAGCTGTTTCACAATCTCCATCTTCTCTTCCGTCCTGTCCCGCGAAAGTGCGCAGGCGACGTGGAGAGGCGTCTCCATGCGTACGTTCACGCACGATGTTTTCGCTTCACCTCGCAGAAGTTCTAACACTTTCTCAACGTCCCCACGTGAACAGGCAGCATGCAGATCTGACATTCTTCTCCCAACTGTAGGCACGCACTGTGCGTCTTTATGTTCCGCGAAGGTCCAGTGCAGTTCACCTACCTAAAATGCACACTGATGTTCACGAAGGCATGTAGAGTTTATTGTGATGTTAATATAGTGATGACAAATCGAAACGTATTTACATTTTCTGTAATGCAGTGTCCAACAGATCGCTGAAGAAGGTTATTTTCCTAATAGCACAAAAGCTAAAGTCTAAGGCCAGGAAGCAAATCGGAAAGGGGACAAATAAAGTGATTAAGCCTGGAGAATTGCCAAAGCTTGGACACATCCATTTAAATATGCCTGGGGCCCACCTCTTCCCCATGCTCCACCCGCTTTGCCAAGTGCAAAGCGCAACTCCACAGGCACTTGGAACGTCTAAAAAAGAGGTAAATAAATACGAAATGTATTTACTACCAAAGTCTTAATAATTCTCTACTCTATTTCGGCTATTATTGCCGATAATTACCCGTAAATGCCGGTCAAATGCTCATCTGCAACACACGGACGCCCGCCCTGTGCACGAACAACATGAATAAGAGAGCTCTCCGGCTCCAGCTTGTCCGACGTGTATGGAGATACATTCATGCTGAAAAATCGATAAGAAATCAATGCGTAATTGTTCGATGACATGAATACGTGTTGATAGATTTCGTATAATCTGCTTCGCCTGATTGTTTTAGAATCATATCGGATATTACTATAATATATAAATATATGTGATATATAAATATATGTATATATATATATATATATATTATAATATTATACTACTAGGACTACTGATACTTTTGATACTGTAGGAGCGAGATTTTGAAACCTCGGTGACGCAAGGTGAAGGACTCATAACGCACTACGGAGGTTTTCTCGCTCTCTTTTCGATGTACGAGAACTAGCTTCAAATCAGTGATATTGTGAACAAAATCAATGAACAAATACTGAATTTGCCCAACTACTATTTCCAATTCCTGCTTCCAGAACTGAAGAACATTCACAGTTGCCAATAATACATTTATATAACGTTAATATTTCTAATGTATTGCGTGTACCGGCTGTACGATTATTAGCGCTACAATTCAAATTGTACAATGCCTCACTCCTACCAATGACTCTGTTAACTTTCTAGTAGTAACATAGTAAGTCTAAATCCAAAACAACTACACACCAAGAACCACCCACAACTCACGACAACTAGTATTACCAAGTCCGCGAATCTTACCATTGATTTGAAATGTTCTAGAATCCCCGCGGAACCTATAGCTGTGGGCCTGATTGATGCGTGGCCTGTTTTGGCACGCGATCAGTATAGAGAGGATTGTGCAACGATGAGTCCTCGGTAAACTGTCAGGAAATGTCTGCCCTCCTCGCTCACCGCCTTTATAGAGTGCGAGGCGCCCACGCTGCCTCAGACGCTTGCCCATCTGCTGCAAATAGGAACATACGGAGGTTTGGTGCCTGTTTATCAATTCTGTGGCTGGCACGCCCACGGTCAAGTTTCATCTGCTCTGCTCAAAGTTTAATTCAAGCTGGGACGTCTTAAACTAGTGAGAATGGGTGCAATTTCGAAATAAATCTGTATCGCGTAGTAATATTATACTTAGAGCGGAAAGAGCCGCGTATATGCGCAAGCTTGGGCATTATATACCTCCGCAAGGAGCAGGTGAAGTTTTCGTCCCGGTTAGTTTGTCCCTCTCGCCAATGAGCGTTATGTTATTCGCCCCTGTTGTTTGTTACCTCCCGCCAAGGAGGTTATGTTTTCGCCCCTGTTGGTGTTGTTTCCTCCGCCAAGAGAGTTATGTTTTCGCCCTGTTCGTTTGTTACTCGCCAAGGAGGTTATGTTTCGCCCCTGTTCGTTTGTTACCATCCGCCAAAGAGCGTTGGTTTTTCGCCCTGTCGTTTAGTTCCTTCGCGAGAATGGTTATTATTCGCCCCTGTTCGCTTTGGTTACTACGCCACGATGGTTAATGTTTGTCGCCCCTGTTAGTTTGTATAACTCCGCCACAGGAGGTTATTGTTTTCCTCTCGCTGTCGTTTGTTACCTCCGCCAACGAGGTTATGTTTTCGTCCCTGTTAGTTGTGACCTCTGCAAGCAAGGTTATGTTTTTTGCCATGTTCGTTTGTTACATCCGCAGGAGGTTATGCTTTTTCGCCTTCCTGTTCGATTCGTTACTCCAGCAAGGAGGTTATGTTTTTTTCCCCTGTTCGTTTGCTACCTCCGCCAAAGCAGGTTATGTTGTTGCACCTGATAAGTTTGTTTACCTCCGCCAAGGAGGTTTATGTTTTCGCCTCTGTTTCACTTTACCTCTGCCAAGGAAAGTTATGTTTTTCGTCCCGTTCGTTCTCGATTGACCTACGCCAAGCAGGTTATGTATGTTTTTGCCCCTGTTCGTTTGCTTACCCCCGCCAAAGAGGTTATGTTTTCGCCAACTGCTTGTTTGCTACTCTCTAAGTTTCTGAAATCCATCTGAACCAGCATAGATGCGGAAACTGTTACGCTGTGCGGAGGTTTGCATCTCCGCATTGCTCTTTGTTTATTGCAATATAAAGCATATAATAATAACATAAATTATTACTATAGTATATTATAAACAAGAGGTATAGGAAGCTTATATTATTCGCTACTTATCGCTTATTATATCTTATTTTATTTTATTATTATATTAATTTATATTAATTATTATATTTTATCTTTAATCGTTTAGTATCTTTTTTATACGCTGTTGATTATAATCATATAATATATAATTGCATTTACTAAGGTTTAAATCGTTGATCTATTTGCTTTATCTGCTCTATCACACACATTACTTGCTTGATACTGATTTAAGATACTTTATTCAGCCAACGTATGGTTCTGTGCGTAGGCATTGCAAAATCTGACCTTTAAATGCGTATCCCAACTAGAGCACACAAATATATATATATATCTTACTATAAATTGGAAGATTTCTGGCCGGGTGTTGGTCGTGCTTTTGCTTGTGTATGCGTGTCCGGCTCTTACGTTCCGCCACCGCCTCAACGATCCTCTCCAAACTTCGGTCGAAACCATTCTACAGATCATAACACCGTTGCAGTGGGGCAATTATTTTTTTCAGGTTTCATTATTTTTTCACATTCCCGTCTCAAAAACAATTAAAATAGTGCGAATTTTGCCACGAGCGCGCGTGCAACGTCACAACACGAAAACACAATGGCAATGCTAAAAAACAATGTATAACCAAAGGCGCTCCATCTAAAATTTCTAAGTCGCTCCATTCTACCAGAAATCTAACCAGAGGAAATTGATATACATTTTTTACATTGTTTTCTTGCATTGCTGTTAAAATTGCGTATATAACAAGTGCCCAGCTCTAAGCCCACACAAAGCATATATATATAATATGATCATTATGCATCGCACAATACCGCCCGCCAAGAAAAGTACGCCGCTGTCACAGAAAACTCCTGATGTCGCAAGTAAGGTTTTCTGTGTGATGTGTGCGTGGGCTGTGGTGTCGGTGTGTGTGTGTGCGTGTGCGCTGTGCTTGGTCGTGCGTGCGTCGTGCCGTCGTGGTCGTGCGGTGTCGTAGTGCAGGTGCGTGTGTACCGTATCGTGCGTGTGTGTGTTGTGTGTGCCCTGTGTGTGACGGCTGTGTGTGTGCTGGTGCGTGTGCGTGTGTGTAGTGTATCTGGTGTGTGTCTATGTGTGCCCGTGTGTGTGTATGGCCGTTTGTGTATGCGTGCCTGTGTGTGTGTGTGTGTATGTGTTTGTGTATGCGCACGGCGCGCGCGCGCTGTGTGATGCATGTGTGTGTGTGATGTGTGTGGTGTGTGTGTGCTGGCTGTGTGTGTGCCTCGTGTGTGGCTATGTGTTCCGGCGTCTACGTTTCCGCAAACGCTCAACGGATCCTCCTCCAAACTTGTAAAACATTCTACAGCATCATAAACACGTTGATGGAGCTAATTATTTTTTTCAGTTCTCAGTTTTGTTTCACATTCCACGTTCAAAAACATTAAAATAGTCGACCGAAATTTTTGCCCACTCGAGCGCGTGCTGCAACGTCACAACACGAAAAACACAGATGGCAATGGCCACAACACCAATGTATAACCAAAGCGCTCGATGCTAGATTTTCTAAGTCGGCTCCACTAAGAGAATCTAACCAGAGAAATTTTATACATTGTTTTTAATTGCTTTCTTGCATTGGTTAAAAATTGGTATAAACAACGGTGCCCATGCTAAT